CACCACCACCAGCACCAGCAGCAGCAGCAGCAGCAGCAGCAGCACCAGCACCACCAGCACCACCAGCACCACCAGCACCACCAGCACCACCAGCACTAATAGAATGCTTGTTAATATTATGCTAAGTCGCCTTGGGCTGTTTAAAGTCGCATCGAGCAAGCGTAAGCTTGAAGACGAGGTTTTATCGCAGCAAAAGTGTCACTGATCCTTTTTATTTGGATTCTTCTTGCTTGCGAGTGAGCTCCAGACATTGGCTTTGCAGATGTGCCCACATTTGATGCGCGAAATGCAAGATGTAATCTGCTTAGTGTCACTTGACCCGGATTGATGCTACTTTGCTCCCGGCAGCTTGTGCATGCTAAACCTCAAGTTGATGTGACGTTACCCACATTGATGTAACTTGACCCACGCCCTCGCTCTCGTACTCTTACCGCCGGCGGCAACGATGACGTCATGTGACGTCAGTGATGTAGTATGTAGTGGTTGTTGTTGCAGCAACCGCAGCAGCTGTGCCAGCAAAAACTGCTGCGGCTCCTTGTTGGGGCTCCTATTGTTACTAGTACTGTATATTTCTTACAGTCCAACTCTTCTTTTTGCTGCCATTTGGGTTTTAGCGGATGCTGACAACAATGCAAGGAATACTGAACCACTCCATTCTGCCAGTTACAGCATGTACTGAGCCCGGCGCAATGCCATTGCTTCGCTAAGCGGGTGTGACGTAAATCACTCAAAGCTGAGCGGCTGCAGACATAAACAAGGTGTAGCCACAAGCAGACAGCACAGCAGACTGCAGAATATCGAGCAGAAGCGCAGAGCCAAAACGAAAGAACAACAAAAGCATGATTTAGTTGCTACGACTAGATGGGCTCAGGGAGTCCTCGAACATGGCAAGCGTACAGGAGCTGTAAACATGCGGCGTGCTAACTACCAATCGTGAGCCGTAATGATCAGAAACAGTAAATACCCCAAGCCTCTCACATAATGCTGTAGCTGAGCTCTAATTAGGCAAGTTTGAGATCCACATATCAGGTGAGACTGAGCCGTTGCGGTCGAAGGTTAGAGCCACAACAGCGTGCGGACAGGATTTCGGATGCTGTCACATGAATTCGCGGCTATCACCGGTCTGCCCATTTGAGCTCCCATTCCTGGCCCCCTCTGCCTGCAACGAAGGCCTTCCAGAAGCTCTGGTGGAAAGAAAGTGTTCTCACCCGGCCTTGCCATGAATCAAGGGCCTGGCTGCACAAAGCACATGCGTCCTGAGCTCCATGCTGGGCCATGAACTGATCCAGGCCATGCCTCAAGTGAGATCAAAGAGGCACCACGTCTTCTCAGGCTCGACAGGGGCTGGGGTTGTGCACGCTCATTAAACAGCCTTCGGAGCGATGCAGGGATGCAGGGATTTTCTGCATGCCGGGAGACAAGGTCTTCATGTGCAGGGTTTAGGAAAGTCTTGAACCAGACTCGTTCCATTGTCCCCCAAACACCCAAGCGAAAGCCACGCAGATCTGAATGCCTTTCTCTGCTCAGGGGGCAGGAACCTTGGAATCTTGCAGAGACATCGAGTGATGATCAAGCTGAGGCGTGCGCCGCTGGACCAGGCGATCATCATCTTCCTGTGTTCCGTCCAAATCCTGAGCTCTTTGGGATAAGGTGCTTGAATTCTTGCTGGTGTGTAAACGCTTGGCATAAAATTTAGGTGTAGCCTCCTTCTACCAGGTGCTCCCTCTGTTCTTGCTAAGAATGCAACGGCTCCACCAATCTTTTGGCAGACTCGGTATATCTCTCCGGCTCTGCCTGGCTGGGCGACAAGATCTTGAAAAAACCAAACGCCGCCATGAGCGTTGATGCCAACTCCCGAGTCTGAAAGCCTTGCTTGTGATTGCGGGAGGAGTATCTTACCATCTGGAAGACTGTCATGATGCACGGCTGCTTTCTCCAGCCCTGCTGTTGCTGAAATAAGGATCGCGCATGGCCGCTTGCAAACGAACTGCGCGTCACACAGAAACCTCCGGCAAACGAGCCTTTCATGGCAGCAGTGTTCATGGCAACTCGAGTGGTGTACCTCCACCCACCACACGAAGCGATGTGTCTGGTCAATTGTATACCTGCTGGACTTCTGACGCTGAGCGAGGTGCGATGCGTCCATCTCGTACCGTCCTGGCAGTTCCAGGGTGCGAAGAATCATGTGCCGCGTGAAGTCGCAGCAAGTCACATGAGTCCTAGACACTCGTAGCTCGCATGAGCAGCTTCTGCCATGATGGCTTCCAGGACATCCTCTCAGCTCCGAATAAATGCAGCCCTACGCTTCTCCTAGCTCTCACAGCTATCCTCCTTCTGCGTGACTGAGGTGTACTCGCCTGCACATCTAAAGCTCTCTGAATTTCACTCCAAAGAAACATGCAGCTGCTCAGCGCTGTAGTTGGCACTGGTTCTGCCTGTGACTTTCTTCAAGACCTTTTGGATCTCCGTGAGATCTCAGCGGGAGAAGCATGTACTATTCTCACAGGAGCCGAGGACAGCAGACCCCAAGTGCTGTGCGCGAGTCATCGGTAGTCGGACCTCGACAAGAAGAGAATCAAAGAACAGCTTCCTGTTTACATCTTCGTGTTGTCTCTCAAGGTCACACCTCAGAGTGCGGCCGATAGCTAGCCGGGCCAACTTCCACTTTGAAGTTGCTGCGGGCCGGGTCTCAGGATGAAAGGCAACTTCCCAAACACACCCCTTGCTCAAGGCCAGTGAAAACCGTCCGAGACTATGACAATGTGCTTTGTGTCTGATCGGTTTCCAGACCTCCAAGGTAGCCGCAGCGCAGTACAGAAGGCATCCCATGTCTGGAACAAAGGCCATTCCGGGCAGCAAGGAAGCAAAAAGTGGTTGCCCTCTGGCCTGCTCTCCATGCTCTGCATCACGCTATCTTAGGTCAAGCAAGCAGCACGTGAAATCGTAGAAGATGAGCAGGTCTCCAGCAATGCTACAATTTATGATTCTTTAAATTTCTGAAGCCGCTGAGACAATGTGTTTTGTGGCTTCATCTCCAAATGACACGCCGTGGCTACTGAGGCTCAAGCCCATTTGTCTCCGCTGTGGCGACGCAGGCGACTTGGACATGTCCTTGCCGGACTGCAACGCTCTAGTACAAGTCAAACAACTTGATTTGGGCTGCGGATCGGAATCCGCCAAGCTCTCTCCAAAGGCTGGGAGCACTGGTCCTTCGGACTTCGCGGGGTTCTCCGAGAAGCCTTCCTGAACTAAAGGTCCAATGAAGCGAATTCATCTAAAAAAGTGGCACCAGAATCTTCCAGAATCTGCCCGCCTGGTGTCCCTGCTGTCACTCTCATTGGAGGCCTCTGCCAAAGCGTCCTGGAATACACGCCGAGACGCAGTGCATAGTTCAATGCTACTTGCAAATGGCATGCAGACATAATTAACTTTAGATTCGACTGACTCAATGCTGCTGAAGCACGGGGTTCAGAGACATTCGCTCCCGTGCGGCTGTCCGCCTGTTGCAGGATGGTATGGTGTGGAGATTGCCGGAAGCAGTATCCGAACATGCCGGCCATCACTCAACAACATAAAGGTAAGGCACGCGCGGGGACGGTGAGGCAACACCAGCCCTCAGCCCAAACAGCAGACTGCCATGGACGTTTCGGGCTACCGGACCGAAGACTGCGTATTCAGCGCAAATAGACAACATGTGCAGCCAGGGGTCGACGCCATCCTCAGCACCCTGCATGACACATGAGACACATACACGTGCATACAGTCTTCAATAGGTGACACGAAAGGGTCTTACACCACGTTCAAGCACCTCTTGGCACGTGGGCAAGGCCCCACTTCCAGGCAAAGGCAGCGCCAGTTGGAACCGTACGGTTTGTGTGAGTAGACTGTGAGGTTGACTGGCAAGCTGGCTTCGTCTTGTGTCCGTCTAGCTATGTTATTTCCAGCTGGTTGCAGGGCCACACTTTCTTCAGAGTGATGACGTGTCCCATGGGCTTCTTGCTGGAAACCAAGCCAACGCTGCAACAAGTCTGAAGTTGGACTGGCATCTGTGCTCTGATTTCCCCATGTATCAGGGGACAAGAACAAGCTCCACACTGGCTAGTGGCACGGCGCTCCCAGTTCGGACAGCTCTTCGCTGATCATCGTTGGATCGCTTGATGTAGAAGACCTGACATGGTTCAGCCCAGACTGCAAATGCAACAAGCCCAAGGCTGACAAATGTCGGATATGTAGCCCCTCCCCCACAGCTCACCCTCAGCGACGAGATCGATCCAAGCCTCAGGCAAACAGCATATGGTTTGCCTAGCACCTCTTGACTACTCAACCTGCAAAGATGAACCTAATCCATAAACCGCAAGTTGCTGACGGTAAGCCAAAAAGTGATCCTCAAAACATCATAGACGTTGTTGCTAAAGCTTCGGCAGCGATTTGAATCCTCTTGATGAGTTTGCAGTCCGGGCAAGGTCGCGAGGCTTTTGACAATACAGCAGACATCAAGGGCAGCTCAGGGCCGGGCTGCGGCATCCTCAGCGCAGCTTCATGTAGGCACGATTAGGGATCCGGAAATGGATAATCCATCCAACAACTCCCAGAATGATGCAAGGGTTAACTCAGACCAACCACTGCGCAGCGCCCAGCAGCCCGTTGAGTGTCTCATCTGAGTCGTCCTTTCAGCAAAGTTTTGACAACTTTGCGGCTAGATCACTGACAATCTCATGATCTTTGGGACGGGTTTAGCACTGGATCCACAGTCCCTGAAGCATAGATCGGAAATCGGTAGTCCCGAGGGACACATCTCATGAAAAATACTTGAAGAAAGGTTTGTACGGGCAATCGAAAGGCCTCGAGCGTCCAGAGCGGATAGCCACTTGTGAAGCACTGCTGCGCGCAATGGTTGCCCTGTCAACATATGTAGCATGCAGCACTGTGCTCCACTAGCCCTGATGTAGTTTGCGCTGCAATTTTAGATCTTGGGCACGGTATCATCACAGGACATAATTTCTGTCGTCAGTGATGGAGGATGCATGCGGGCTTGAGCTTTCTGTTTTCTGACTCTCCACTTACAGCCATCAGCGGGGCAATCTGGGCCTCGATGGTTCGATTTTCCATCTCCTGTCACAAAGAGAATGTGTGCTACAGAAGCTCCACACTGAGTCGGTGAGCCGATCTGCGATTGGAGCATCACTCCATTGTACCTTCTTGCCATTGAAGTACGTGTTCAGCAGCGAGCTCACGAACCTTTGATCCGCAATAGGGGAAGACTCTACTGCATTATCGCAGAAGACCAAACCACTGCAATGTGGAACATGACATTAGCAAGTGTCAATGCTGCCACCTAAAGTGCGTCCACTGGCAGGTAGGGAAACGTCATCATCAAGGAATTTGCATTTGAAGCAAATCTGACTCTACATGGCGGCAGAACTCAAGGAATGGGCCAAATTCCACAATACAGGTTTAGAGGTATGAGTATCTAGCAACTTGCAGTCAGCTGTCCAGGGCTGCGACGCATGAGGGAAGGCCCAGGTGTAGCCGAAAGTTTCGCGCATCGTGTCCGCAATAACAAGGCCGGTCCTTGCTGCAAAACAGCATATGACCTCCTTCTCACCCATTATAAAGGCCTATCGCTTGCCGCTGCCTAGCTAGTACCTCTTTGGGGCCCTCACATGGCGTCGCCGTTGCCAATGTGCTCCATGGCCTTAGGAGTCTGAGAACCCCACTAACAATCAATACCCCAAAAGGGTACAATCATACAAGGGGAACGATTTTTTGGTTTTCACAGGGTTGGCCAGATGGGAAGAGCCGTGATTGAGGCTTGCCAATCTTCTGGCGCTTATCTTATCGAGGAGCATCAGTGTCCGAACAGCCCAATGATGCTGGCACTAGCCAATGATGTTGGCACTCGTCAATGATGCTGCCGCTAAATTGCAAGTTTTGACCCTAGCATGACCCTGCAAATGAGTGTTTTTTTGGGGTGGTTAAACCTAGTAAGATTATATTCCTTATATAAAATACTACTCAAATGAAGCACTCCGCCTCAGAAAAGAAGGAGCTCTCTCATAACCTTGCGACAGGGCAGTCTTGGTGCACTGCCAAGTTTTTGTAGACGTCAGGGAAGGCGCCCACCTGTACAGGCTTTGAGTCAGGGCTGTGGTGCCATATTCTGCGATGTACACAACACGATATATACCCCTACAAGATCCTACAAGTACCGAAGTAGTCCCGAACAGATGGACAGCAGCCGACTCTGGGCTTGCGGCAATGTTGTTTTACGGAAAACTCATTCAAGTCAACTTCCTCTACGTAATGCCCAAAGAATGACTTGAAGTATAGATCTTGATTCCGTTGGTCCCCTCATCTCAACGTCAGGGCTCTTGTTGCACTTCAGAAGGCCTGCCTCCAAGAGCAGCCACTTGTCGAGTGCGTTGCGGTCCTCGCCCTTGAAGCGCACATCGTACCTCGCCGGCCCCTCAACCACAGCATTGTCAATGTGTGCAACGTGGCACTTCCTGGCTACGGCTGCAGCCTACTTCCAGTAAAAACAAGTACTTAATCATGCAAGCAAGCTGGTGAGAGCACACGTCCTTGGTGATCTCGATGATCGGCAAGTCCTGCATGGCAAGCGCTGCATTGTTGGATGATTGGATGAATCATGTTCGGAGCTGCCAAATCTCCGCCGTCCAAAACAACCATCCACAATTGCTAGTTCATGCTCGTGCTGCCACCAGCTCTTGTCCTGTTTCTCCTTGCGGAAAGTGGCCTCCTCAGCCTGTTTGACGATAAACCTGGCTCCAAGCACAAGGTCAGCAAGCTTCAGAAACAAAATGAGTGAAGTAAGACTGCTTTCGTTGATATTGGCATCTTGCACCAAGGAAAACAGGTTGAACATTTCGTCAGCTTCGCTGAGTCAGGTTGATGAATAAAAAACACACAAGCTACTGAGTTGAGGTGCCCAACTTCTCTTGGTGTAAGTGCCACGCCTTCTAACTTGCTACTCCTGGCTACTACTGAAGTCCATGCATGTCACAGCCTGCCAATGTCCAGGGCAATCAGCTTCACCTAAGCTGGCACACCTACCCAGGCATTCCAACCTCGGAGCAGTGAGACCCGTTCAAACGTTGAGCTAGGCGATGGACTACTTTCGTCTTGCGAGGCTGTTGCGTCACCACCTCCCACATGCATTCGAGTGGAAAATCACTGTAGTTGACAGATTCAGGACACTAAAACGTGAAGCCTGCCATTCATCTGGCCGCAACTGCATGCCATTCGGGGTGCGGATCAATAGCCCCAAAACCTGCCAAGCACACGCTGTGGACACAGCACCTGCAGCAAGCCCTCGAAGCCATGAAACCGTAGACCTTACACCGACCCCCAAAAGCTGCGTATCTAGTAGCTGGTCCGTTGACAAGGTGACAAAGGCATTGGAAACACACCTGTGCTCCTATGCTTGCTACGATCTCCATCTTCGGCCGCCAGCCTCCAGGTCATCATTGTCCTCTCCCTTGGTGGCCTGAAGTCGAACGCAGCAGCACACAAACCTTTTGCGCCTGCAACCTCTGTCTGGAACTCAATTACTCAGACTGCAGAAAGCCGCAGGACAAGGAAAAAGAACCTTCAGCAGCTGTTGTTAAACTTGGCTGCAAGCAACTGGGAGCAGGAATGGATGGAGATCGCCACCAATCTGTGCAGGGCCAAGATCGTGGATGTTTGGCTGCACGGCTTGAAGATCTAAGAAAGATCTGGCTGCCGCAGTGATTCTGCTGCTGACCTGCTTCGACTTTATCCCGATAGTGGGGGAACTTTGCACGTGGATAGCGTTCATATGCAGAGACGGCTTAGACCTTATCTGTCCCCTGTAAGCTGTGAGGCAGCTCAGCCCCAGAGTGCCTGTTTCCAGTCATTATCTTCGCCCAGGATGTTGTAGCCACTGGCCTAGCCATGCATTCGGGCACACAACTTCTGTGTGCAAAGCGAGTTCCTGGCCTGTAAAACTTGGAGAAATGGGTCCAGCTGGCGGGGAGCTTTGACCTGGGCTAACATGAGTGTGCGACGGCATCCAGGTGATGGGCAGAGTTGCAGTTGAGAATTGCCCAGGCAAAACATTTTTTACATGAAGAGAGCTGCAAGACCAAAAGTCAATCTTCTTCTGACAAGCCGCTTCAAGCACGTCCTTTATGAGGGACTTCAGGGCATCCACCTGCAAACATGATGAAATGCATGGTTGGCGATAAAGAGCGCATGGCTTTGACATCAAGCGTGACTGGCTTTGAAAGTTCTTGCTTTGAAGTCAACGAACATGTTGCATTGGAACGCGGCAGCATGGTGGCAGCTCAACTGAATGACCCTTCACTCAGCGGAGTGACGCATGAGACAGAAGCAAAGGCTTCCAGTACGGGCTGCAATCCACATAGACTGTGCTGGATGGTGAATTTGACTTCAACCCACTTTCACAACCAAATGCTTTCAATACGGATTTCCCCGGCCTTGCCAGGTGATACCTGGCAAGAAGCGAAGCCATAGTGTTCTGTCCACTGTCGGTTTGCTTTTGAAACTTTGGGGGAGGCTTCTGCAAACGTTTGTTCCATCAACGATGGTTCTATGTGTCCAGCAGAGTTTCAAGCTGCACATCGGGGCCAAAATGTCAAGGATACCAAGCCGATTTTTCGCAGCTTTGTGAAACGGGGCTTTAGGTAGATCTATCCTGGCGACCTGTGCCCAAGCAATTAACAGGGCCTCCAAAGGCACCTCAACCTCCACCGCTGAGGCCTTGCACACGAACACAAATTGCATGGAGATATGGAGTGGCTCTGGGCATGAATTGCCGGTCGAAGCCTTGAGCGCGCATCCTTGTATGCATCACAAGAAATTGCACTGCGTTGGTGGAAACAAAGAATACCAAGTGTCACACAGCCTGCATTGAGGACCCAACTTCTCTGTGAGCTGCGCTTCCCTTTAGCCCGCCAGCCACGAACTGCCAACGCCTGGGTTTCTGCTCTAGTTTTTTGCGTGGTCTGCACAGCTTTTTGTCGCCACCGCCGATGACTACAGTCATCAGGGGCATGGCTGGCACTGCTGCAGCCGACGGCAACAGCCACGCGTGGCCTGCAATCGGCAGGACAGACGGGCACCACTTCATTCGAAAATTGATGTCAAAAAGCAGTTGGTTGCGCACCTGGTCTGGCTGGGTTCCTGAGCACCGGTGCTCTCACTCGAGCTCCTGACGGCATGGACGGCGCCGACGGAACCTAAGGGCATTGAATACCACAGACTGTTCACACGCCTGTCGCATCTGCAATGGTCGTCCGAAACAATTTTCTGTTGCAATCTGTGCAACCGCATGATTTGCCCATGATGTGAATAGCCCTGATACGACTACTGCTTCGATTTGCCGCATTCGCAACCCAATGTCACACATGCTTGTTCCCTCTAACATCCTGGCACTATTTACATTGACATCGCGATATTGGCAGATGTTTGCAATCAAGGTGCAAAAGGAGTCACTGCCATCAGCTCCAAAGCCTGTGCAACGCAAACCACACGTAAAAGCACTCCGTCAGACCTTTCTCGATCAGAAGTTCTGGGACAAAAAACCCGATGCACCCCAGCTGAAAGGCTGAAATGCATATTCAAATCGGTGCGAAAAGTTCTACAAGCTGATCAATGCACAGCATGCACCACAATTCGATAACAAACTTGCAGTCGGCATTGCCTGCCTCCATGAGCTTGATTTCCAAAACGTGCTCGAAAGGAGGTTTTGCGATGTTGCGTTGATGCAGCTTGCATGGTGGACAAACACGTACATCAAAGCACGCATCTTCCGATACATGCGCATAGTTGTTTGAGAACTGAACGTGGTTGCAAACGGAAGCTTAGCCTGGGAAATTGACAGCTTCCAAACCACGAAACATTGCGGAATGCACAACCGTGCTGGAAATCAATCATCAGGAAACCTTTTTAGAAAGTTCTTTGCCCACCTGCCTCTTGGCGTGAAAACGGTGCGACATGACAATCCTTCTGCCCTGCGATTTTTCCGGCCTTACAATAAACGTGTCAAATGAATTTCGAATCTGCTTACATGCTTTAAACATAACACGCGCAAAACGCATCGAAGCTCCTACTGCACCTTTGCTAATGGAATCTAAATTTAACTTTGAGTTACACAACCCCTTTGCATCATCCATCGCTTTTGTGATCTTCCAAATGTGGAGCGTTCCGAATCGCATTTGAAAAGGCTGGGAAGAGTCCCCGAGGCCCAGAAAAGGCTGGGAAGGGGCTCAGAACCCAAAAAAACCACAGCCCAGGCCCGAAAAAGCCCAAAAAAGGCCCCAAGGCTCAGAAAAGGAAGAGGCCCAGAAGCCTACCACAGGAAGCTGCACACGTCAGCACGTCTTTTTATTTGCGCTTCTCTGAGTGTAGCTGTTCAGGGGTCTTGACGGCGAACATATTATTTCGCTCTCCCTGGCTTGTCGATTTTGCCCTTTGTGAAACTGCCGAGTAAGACCTGCATAACTGGGCCAACCGCAACGATTGCGCTTTCTGATAAGAGCGCTGTAAAACACCGGGCCCAACGAGCCGGGGCTAGTCACCATGTGACCAGGCTTAACGAAAGGACTGAGGGTCTGAAAGGCCTGAAGGCTGGGCTTGACTCGACTGATGGAAGGCTCTCCGGAAGGGCTTGCAAATGAGGGAGGCTCGCAAACCACTTCTTGTTTGTTGCCGGCTGAAGCGACAACTCCAAGATTTGCAATCCCTGTCTTCAAGGCCTGAGGGTGCCAGGCGCACGAAAACTGTGTGTAAACGGCTTTGAAACCTTTCAGAACTGGTCACCTCGTCGCTTGTCACCTGAGCGAAGGGCTACAGCTCAGGGGACGAAATACGGACTGGGAAGGCGGGCCAAAAACTCCTGAGAAAGTGAGCTACTGTAGGCTTGCCGTGGGCTAACAATGAGGCCTAGGAGCAGTAGTGGCAGCCGGTGTAGAATGAGATTCACAACACACTCCAAAACACGAGGGGAAAAAATTTAGCGTTCTGAGCGGTTCATTGCTTGTTGTGAACTTCCACTAGACAAAGCTACAGCTGCAGCAACAAAGCGAAGTGGTCTGCGGACTTTGACTCCTTTGTTTCTTGGCGAGACAGCTGGGATCTGTGTTTGACCCATCCTCCCAATTGGAGGAAAGGGTTCAGCAGAAGAAACAAAGCGGTTTACAAGCATATAAACATAGATCACAGTATTCCCAGTCCCAAGTTGCCAAGAAAAAGGATGCCGCATCTAGCGTGCCCAGTGTGAAAGCGGCGTACTTTGTTGAGCAACCTAAGCTCAGCAGGAAAAAGCATGGGCAGGCTTGCCCTCAAAGTTGCAAGAGACCACGCCCTACCTCAAGGACGAGTCGAGCACCAAGGCCCAACTTGCCCGCGAAGCAATGCGAAGCAGACACTGTCAAAAGGCTGTGTTGAAGTGCGCTGAAAGTAATTGCCAGGGCCCTGATTGTCGGGGNNGCCAGAAAGACTTCAGCGAGATGCGAACTCTTTCAGCTTCCCCAAAGTTGTGAGGCACGGGGCATGACTCATCCCAGCGGCTTAAGGCGTCCGCCTTAGTGTTTCTCTCACCAGAAATATGAGAGCAAGCAAGTGACACAGCGTGCGCGCAGGCCCACATGGCCAGCCGCTGGACGAACAAAGCAAGAGGCTGTTTGCTGTGTAGAGGCGGTTAATGACACTTTCGGCGCCCACATTGTCACTCAGCGCAGGGAGTTTAACCCTGAGGCGACCACCGCCTTTGGTCCTAAGCAGAAGAATCAAGAGGAAACCTTGAGCAAGGGTTTCGTAAGATGCAATGTCCAAGTATTTGCATCGTCCTTGACTGGGATGCCAAAGGAGCGAAAGTCGCCTGACGTGAAGCGTTCTGACAACCAGAAACAAGGAAGATCCCACACGCAGCCAACCACCAGCGCCACACGCACTGCCTTCGCCAAAGGCATCTGCTGCGCTCTCAAAGGCAGGATTGGTGGCAGGGCGAGAGGACGACGCCAGGCCAGGGATTCTGGCACCACTAAAGAAGAAAGCGAAGCATTTCCCTGCTGGGTTCAGACAGCTTGCGTCTCGAAGAGGCAGGGTCTGCAACATGAAGCCATATCCTACAAGAGTAAATAGGTACCAGAAGAAGGTCAGTCTTACACTTGAGCTCCGTGTGGAGCGCACAGGAATGCTAGTACGAAGGGCATCTGAAAGATGGGCACTGAGACACGGGCCAGTCTGAAGGAT